GAAGCAATAGAAAAGATACGAAGGCAACGGCGATAAATCGTGTCCACGATATTGGACAAATGATCATGGGAGCATTACTCTAATCGTTTTTATGGGCCCGCCTTCTACTGGTGGAATGCTTGCGAGAAAACTCGTCAGAGGATATCTCGAACTGTACATTAAGCAATATTAACATACGGACTTTACGCGGTAACATAATCTAACATTCGATTTCGTGTCACAGTTCAATGTTTGTCATCGAACGGCAATCGATCGATAATCTGAACACCTGGACTATCTAACACAACGTTCATTTAATTCTTAAATAGAGAATAAACTTGCCATAGAGGGTTAAATAGTATTTTTCTGTTATTTGTCTCGTGCATTATTTTTGAAACTTATTTTTATTTCGTAGTCAAAACCCCAAGTAATTAATACGAGAACTTTTGGAAATTTGAAATTGTAGAAAGAAATGTAAATTTGAGAAATTTAATTAAACTATTTCAACATGTGAGAATTTTAGCATAGAAATATTTGAGAATCTGATATTTTAAGCACTTGATAATTTATGAATTTACAAGTGTGGGAAATTTAATAATTTGTACTTTTAGAAATTCAGATATTTGAAATTTGGCGAAAAATAATTTTTAACTTGAATAATTATTTTTGTAGAGAAATTATATTCTAGGTATTATAATTCTAACATACGTTCTAACATAATTGTTACAATCCTAATATAATTATATTCTACTCCTTCCAAGCCTAACAAATTAATAACAAATTTCCAAAAGTGCCACCCATAATAATTCTAAAAAAAATATTTCCAAAGTGAGTATCCAGAAAAACGTGAGCACCCCTGTTAGCAGTCCCGAAACGTCCCACAATTACACGGTCGTTAAAATCAAATCGGTGTTCCTACCAATTCTAATCAGCTGGAACAGAATCGTAGAGGCACGCTTCATTGTTAATTCCCCTGGCAGTCTAAAACGTCCTGTTTCATCAAAATTTATTACTTTAACGCTGGTAGTTGGACACCCACCGAAAGTAATCAGAAACGTTAACACGTATCGAACACTGTTCGCTATTCCGTTCCTGTTCCTTTTTCTTGCGCTGGTTGGGTTCGTTTAGAAAGAATGCACCCGATCGAAAACGCAATTCAATCGATTTTATTCAGTTCACGGACGCGTGTACTGGCCATTTACCTAGGGAAAGCAATCAGGTGGACATCGCTAAGGCTAATCCTCGGCAATAAATTATGGTTTTACATTGACCCGAGCCTTTAGGCTCGTTAGCGAGTTGCGTCCAAGTGACGATTAGCATTTTGCCTTACGGCTCGTTGCCGTTACAATACCGGCCTTTCACGTCGCTAAATTATTCTCTCTCGTCTGGTGAAACAACGTTCGACAAAGTCGAAAAGTAAACGACCGCTGATTTAACCGAATACGCTCGGGTACAGGTGTTTCTAGCATTGTACGCGAACTTTGACACCGGAGCTAACTGAGCCCGCTAAACAGACTTTATTATACTGATGATGTAGCACTGCTGATACCATGCTGGAATTTTGTGTGTGTAGATTTTACTCTTATGATCATTTTTTAAATTGTTGAAAATTGGTTTAAATGATATTTTAGTTATTTTGTTTTATTACAGTTTGGATGTGAAACTTGTGGTTGCTACAGATAGAAATTTGGAAATTTTAAGTTTTGAAAATTGAAAAATTTGGAGATATTTGATGATACTAAAATTGAGGAATTTGGGGTTTGATGATTTTTAAATTTGAGTTTTTGGAAATTCAGAGATTTAGGAATTGAAAATTTGAAAATTTAGAAATTTGAAAGATTAAAAATCTCGAGTTTTGTAAATTAAGAAAGGGAATTTGGTGGTTCTGAAATTTACACTTCTGAAAATTGGGAGATTTGAATTTGAGGATTTGATAATTTAGTTGTCAAATTATATTTAATTTTCCGTTAATTTAGGAATTCAAGAAATTGAATTCTGTTAATTAGAAATTCAACATATCTATATTTTTAGAGATTCGAAATTTGCAAACTTACAAATGTGAGAGTTTGATAATTTCGAACTTTGTAATTTCAAAATTCAATATTTTCTTTTTGCATATAATATTCTAAAAAATAGTTTTACTCAAATGAAAAGCATGGTATTTAAAAAATAAAAAATTTGAAGTAAACTATAAAGTGTTTTTATGTTCTTCTAAGAAATACGTATTTCAAGAGATAATTGCTAGGATAAATTAAAACTGGACACCCTATATTTACGATATCCTCGAACAACACTATACGGATGACTATATAAATCGATTATCCATGGAATTTACGATGCCGACACCTGATGACTCCTTGAGTCATCTAAACAGATTACTTAACGTTTGCGGATGGAGAGAAAATGTACTATCATTCTATAATTCACAAATATAAATAACTCAACGAGGAAAATAATATTCTGCGTTTCTGCAATGTACGAAAATGTTTTTCATTGTCAATAAATTTATTTTTCTTCAATTATTAGCATTTCCTAATACAGGGGTTCTCAAAATTATTTTGTCCGAAGGACCCTATTGAACATTTTTTTTGGATCCATCGCATAATTACATTTTTACTCTAATTATGTTAATAACTAGTTGAGTATCAATTGATAGAAAAAGTCTTGATCATGTAGGTTTCTTATCAAATCAATTATTTGGTTAAAAGCAACAAGTTAGGGAATGAAAAATTAATTTCCAAATTCTTTCATGGAGTACAGTTCAAGAACCTATGCTCTAATATTCAAGTTAGGAAAGTTTGCAATTATATTATAGGAAAATATTGCTAAAAATTGTACAACTCTCATTGCATTTGCATTCATTTTCCAATACATTGCAATCCAACATTATTTATGACATACTTAAAACATGTAACAGCTCTAGCCTTAGCCATATAACGAAACTCTCGAATTTAATTAGCTATATAACCACCTACAATTCTAGTTTTAATCATCACTTTCCTTTATTTTAACTCACATTAAATATGAATGATTCATAATATAAAAAGCAGCAAACATTGTTAATACTGAAACTTCTATTATGTTCACTAACAGCTTTAGCCTCAGCCATATAACGAGACTCTCAAATTTAATTAGCTTTATTTAATCAGCTACAATTCTAGCTTTAATTATCCTTTTCTTTTACTTCACCTCATATTAAATATGAATGATTCAGAAGATAAAAAGCAGCAAATATTGTTAATATTGAAACTCCTATTACGTTCATTAAAGTCTAACAAGCAATTTGATATTTTTAAGAAACTTTTCTATTCTTCCGTGAATTAATAATTAATTTCTCATAATGTTTTATGGAACAGAATCTAAAATTAAAAAATAAAACTGCAACTTTGTTATATATCCTGATTTTTCCAGGAAATTACAAATTTTATATTAATTGAGAGGCCAGTTGATTATATAAGTCATTATGATGTAAGAAACAATAAAAAAGGCAAGAAATGTAATTTGTACACATGTACTTTTAAACTGAATATTAAACCTTTTCCTTGTAGAAGAAACGATAAATTGATATGCATTAAATTATGTGTTTGCAGTTTCCGTCATAACCGTAACAGTATAATATTTTTGTACCAAATAAAAATTCAACTGGTAACGATTTCTGTATCAATGCAAAAATTGATGTGAATATTTTTACGTTTCTATGCACAAACAATTCCATCGATATACGTGATTTTCAATTTTGCGTTTCAGCATTATATTTATCATTTTATCAGTACTCCAAATCAAACGATTGTCAGACGTAATATCTAGAGGAAAATCACATTCTACCTGTGTTAAATATTCTCCAATGCATCAAATGTATAATACTGTTAAATCGCAGAAAATGTTATTACGCATTTAGCTTACGTCTTTTTTATTATACACTTTTTTTCTCTCGTAACGCTGCCCGATGGTGTCTTATCACCGCTCAGCGTATGAATTATTAATCGGTATATTCTTTGAATTAAACGGAGAGAAAGAAGATATTACAAAAATGAAACGCATAAGAAACAAACTGCATACTGAATCACCGAAATTATTGAAAAAATAATAGCGTGAGCAAGATTGTTTGTAATCCGCTGCACGAGAATCAAAACAAATGAAATCTATTAACCAGTGCATTATTTCATCTCTATAATTAAATTATCGACTTTCAAAGCACAGCAATTGCCCGAAACTTATCTGAACTATAAAGGTCATCTCTATTTTTATTTGCAGCGTGTTGAATACGCTCAACGATACAGCTCTGTTAACGTTCTTTGATAGTACTCCATTTAATATCAGATTTAAACGTCACTTTTTTAATATTCAATTTTTATATTTTCGTTATGCGCGGGAATGAACAAATGCATTGAAAGATAATAATAAATACATTAAAATAATGTACTCATTATACCATAATATTGTAAGTTAAATGTCAGAAGAATCTAAATTATAGAAAATTAAATTCTATTTAAATAAAAATGATCATTTTTAAGAATAATTAATTTGAAAAAATATTTAACACTAAAATAGGAGTTTAACCTAATTTTGTTTTTACAGAAATTAATACCTTCTCAGTGAATCGACTTTAATTGTACATGAAATTAATAAATTATAAATCAATTATAATTGATTAATAAATTATACTAATCCCTGATAAATAAATTACGAGTCAATTATAATTTATATCCTGAAATGCCTGTAGCTCAAAACTCCTATACACCAAAATCCCTAGATATCGAATTCTCTATATGTCAAAAAGCCCTATATTAAAAAGTCCCCAGATGTCGAATTTTCTATGTGGCAAAATCCCTATATTAAAAAGTTCCTAGATATCGAATATTCTATGTGCTAAAATCCTTATATTAAAAAATCTTTTTAAGGATTTCTATATCCCTAAATGTTGAGGTTTTTGTACCCCTAGATCTTTATACTCATTTAAACAAATTTTTTATTCATATAACCTGTAACGGAATAAAAAATAAAAAAGAAGTGAAACTTACCGGGTTTGCAGAGCCGGCTCCAATGGTAAGGGTTACAGCATATGTATACAGGGTCTTTAGCGGAATGACAGACAGGAAGTCTCTTAAGCTCAGACGAGTGAGCTAGATCCGGCCACCGCCAGATCTGGCAGCAGAGCAGGTGAGGATCAATCGGCGCGTTGTCGTGCGAGCCTCGTACAGGCACCCTGCACCGTTCCGGTCTGATCGATAACGTGCATGTGTCCTCCGATCCGGAGTTCCGATCGTCATCGTTCTCCAACGACGAAGAACGATGAAGTCTACGATGATGTCGATGATGATAATGATGATGGTGCGGGTGATGATAGTGGTGGTGATGGTAATGGTAACGATGTGGCCGATAACACTGTTGCTGTTGCTCGGGATCGTAGCCGTCCTCGGGATGTTGATGGGGCACGAGGATGCACGAACCGAGATCGGCACCGGAACTCTCCACGGCGGTGAGTAACATCTCTAGCTGATTCTCCTTGAGCGATTTGAGGAGCTCCTTGCACCTCAACAAACGAACGGGATCCTCGTCATCGTCCTGGCTCTGATCACCGCCACAGCAACCTTGTTGCAGTCTACTCGACGAGATAAACGTTCTTTGATAGTACTCCATTTAATATCAGATTTAAACGTCACTTTTTTAATATTCAATTTTTATATTTTCGTTATGCGCGGGAATGAACAAATGCATTGAAAGATAATAATAAATACATTAAAATAATGTACTCATTATACCATAATATTGTAAGTTAAATGTCAGAAGAATCTAAATTATAGAAAATTAAATTCTATTTAAATAAAAATGATCATTTTTAAGAATAATTAATTTGAAAAAATATTTAACACTAAAATAGGAGTTTAACCTAATTTTGTTTTTACAGAAATTAATACCTTCTCAGTGAATCGACTTTAATTGTACATGAAATTAATAAATTATAAATCAATTATAATTGATTAATAAATTATACTAATCCCTGATAAATAAATTACGAGTCAATTATAATTTATATCCTGAAATGCCTGTAGCTCAAAACTCCTATACACCAAAATCCCTAGATATCGAATTCTCTATATGTCAAAAAGCCCTATATTAAAAAGTCCCCAGATGTCGAATTTTCTATGTGGCAAAATCCCTATATTAAAAAGTTCCTAGATATCGAATATTCTATGTGCTAAAATCCTTATATTAAAAAATCTTTTTAAGGATTTCTATATCCCTAAATGTTGAGGTTTTTGTACCCCTAGATCTTTATACTCATTTAAACAAATTTTTTATTCATATAACCTGTAACGGAATAAAAAATAAAAAAGAAGTGAAACTTACCGGGTTTGCAGAGCCGGCTCCAATGGTAAGGGTTACAGCATATGTATACAGGGTCTTTAGCGGAATGACAGACAGGAAGTCTCTTAAGCTCAGACGAGTGAGCTAGATCCGGCCACCGCCAGATCTGGCAGCAGAGCAGGTGAGGATCAATCGGCGCGTTGTCGTGCGAGCCTCGTACAGGCACCCTGCACCGTTCCGGTCTGATCGATAACGTGCATGTGTCCTCCGATCCGGAGTTCCGATCGTCATCGTTCTCCAACGACGAAGAACGATGAAGTCTACGATGATGTCGATGATGATAATGATGATGGTGCGGGTGATGATAGTGGTGGTGATGGTAATGGTAACGATGTGGCCGATAACACTGTTGCTGTTGCTCGGGATCGTAGCCGTCCTCGGGATGTTGATGGGGCACGAGGATGCACGAACCGAGATCGGCACCGGAACTCTCCACGGCGGTGAGTAACATCTCTAGCTGATTCTCCTTGAGCGATTTGAGGAGCTCCTTGCACCTCAACAAACGAACGGGATCCTCGTCATCGTCCTGGCTCTGATCACCGCCACAGCAACCTTGTTGCAGTCTACTCGACGAGATACGGTTACCACCTCCACCTCCTCCTCCTCCTCCTCCTCCTCCGCCGCCGCCGACTGCACCTCCTGACGACGCTCCACGCGCTCCTCTGGTTGTTTGGCCCGTCGCTGCCGTCACGTTACTCGTGTCGTTGTCGGTGCCGTTCGTGTTGTTTGCGCGATGAATACGTGACGAATCCTCTTGAGCTTCACACTCGGTTTCATGCTCTCCACGGACCTTGGCCTTTAGGAGACGTCTAGTGAGCGCCGTCCGTTTGCTCCAGAACATGAACATGAAACAGGATTTGCGGTTCGCGCATTTGGGGGCCAGTACTTTTCAACGTAGCCGCGCGGAAAATAAGAAATATCTGGAATCAGTGTCCCGACGCGACACCGTGTCACCACCGCGCGTTCGACGGCCACACTTCCCTCCTCC